CTAAGCCCAGTGACTTGGAATTACAAAAATACCCCTCCATGATCCAGCCCATCATTAGTCAGAGCAAAGTACAGATTTACCCCTAATCTGTCCAATAAAGTACAACTTCTGCCACCTGAAAGTACATCTATAAATAGCTCTCCAATCATTGATGATGGTAACTTTTTCCTAATTCTCTAATCTTCTCTCTCTACTTTATCTCTCTAAAGTACTCTTTCTCTCTCTACTTTCTCTCACTAGAAAATACGTTCGCTGACTTAAGCATCGGAGGGGCTTTCCCGGGTCACACCCCCGGGGTAGTTAACCTTCTTTCTTTTGCAGGCCTAGCTCTCGGACAACAAGGCGTAGCTGAGGGAAATTCGGACATACATTGGACATAGTTCTAGGACATCTTGATCACCTTTACTACCCTAAGACTCCCAGGAGCATTCTGTTTCCAGAAACACTTCTGATTCATCTGTTCGTATTCGAAGACTTGATAACTTTTTCACCAACGAAATAATTTCACGACAATCAGTTAGATCTGCTACCATAGATTCAAAACTAAGAAATTTCTCCCTCGAAAAGAGGAGAAAAACCTTGTCTTTTGAAGGAGGTCGAAAAACTCTTGTCTTTCGAAGGAGATCAGAAACCCTTTGTTTCGAGGGAGAAAAGTTCCTCCCAAAAGGAGGAAGCATTATTATAAACCTAAAGAAACAATAAAGAAATAAGGATTAAGGCTTTCCACCGATTAAAATCGATGGAAGCCCCTTCAAAATTCAACAATGGAGGCTAGGGTTTTGGAGAGAGAAAGGAAGAAAAAGGAGGAGAGGCATTTATCACTCACATAATAAAGAGAAATAGGCTTCTAATTTTTATATTTATATTTATAAATATGTATAACTCAATTTTACTTAACGTCTAATTTGTGTCATTAAAAATTACTCGTATGAAACTATAGGTGTTGCTCATTCTGCATTGTCGCATTGCGTTTTGTAATAAAAAGTTTGTGACTGATTTTTTTTAATATTTAATTAGACGGTTTTTTTATTTTTACTACTAGCAGGATTAGGTGATACGGAATATAATTCTTTAATTTCTACGGAGTATTACATACGTTAGAGCATATTGATGTAGAAACTATTATTATGCGCTAATAATTTTTTATGCATTAAATTAAGTGGTTATGTAAGTTATTCATTTTGCACACCCAATTTTTTTTTTCCTAATATAATAATAAATTCAAACATTAGTTAATTAGGGCCTCATATTTTCTATTCCCCCCTAGGCCACCAATTCCTCAGAAACGGGCCTGGTGATAGTGCTCTCAGGGTGCGTTTGATATACATTGGAGTTGGGTTTTTGACTTGGTTATCATGACTTACTTATAAAAAGCTTAAGGGCCTGTTTTTTCTTCAGCTTAATTTCAGTTCAATTTAGTTCATAATTTCCTTCTCTCATAAAATATTTATTTCAGTTCTATTATGTTCAGGTCAGTTTAGCTCTAATCAGTCCAGTTCAGCTCATTTCAGTAAATCAGAATATGCCCTAACTCATTCAGTAGGTTTTCACTATTAAATAAACCATTTAACTAAAATAATTAAAATGAGTTAAAATAATTTATTTCACCCAAAATAATTAATTCAAATAAAAAGTCACATAACACCGAGTTAATAATTTGACTTTTGACCCGTACATATCCGACGTGGCAATATACAAATTTTCGTGCCTACAATAAGGTAACACTAAAGTTAGTTAGATGTATTCAATGCTAATTTGGCATCACATTCAAAGTTTTGAATATAGATAATGAACTTTATAATTTGAAGAAGAATTTACTAATCTAAGTTATATTATAATAGTACTCCATACCACTTTTAATCTAATGGAGTAGGAAGAAATCGCTCAATATTTAATACACTTAATAATTTAAATTTCTATTATTCTCTCCATTCCATTATTTCGTATCTGTATTTCTTTTTGAGTGTCCCAAAATATTGTGTCTGTTTCTAAAAATAGCACATGATTATTACTTACTTTTTATCTTTCTTATATAAAATACACATATACCAAAAAAAAATCATTACTTACTTTTTTTTATTATATACGGAATAATATTTTCTACTTTTTATTATAAATGGAACGGACGAAGTATTTTACTTAAAAATTCTTCTATGAATTTTATTAAAGCACATTTAATACTCGACCAACCTCGGCTAGATTGGTATAAGTGTTCTTATAGTCTAACACCGATTTTCTACCTAAAAGAGATTCAACCCTAATGACTTACAATGACTCGTGTTAGTCGTGTATTATGTCCACACTATGAAACATATTAAATGAATTTAAGAGTTAATAAGTAGAACAAGTGGAGAAACTATATTTGAATCACAAGCAATCATAAACAACACTCCACTTGATCAAAATAATTCATCAAAGACATGTCCTTACTTTCTTCCTCCCTACTTATTGTTTTTTTTTTTTTTTTGACAAAAGCTCCCTACTTATTGTTCATTTGTTTCTAAATGACACAAATAACATTAATTAAGAAGCAAAAATAGTTAACTTAAAATCCAAAAACTTGATCTATTGTGTTTGTATGAATGTATCTAATCTAATCTAACTAGTTTTTTTTTTTTTTTTTTTTTTTTTTTTTTTTTTTTTTTTGGGATTTCTCTAACTAGTAGTTAAAAATAAGGTCGGTTTGGTTAGTTTATACTAGTAGTAATTTTATTACAACAATAAATAAGTTAGAATTAATCAATTACATTATACTAAAGGCGAACCTAAAATGACACTTGGCAATATAATATAAAGAGTTTTCCCTCCAAAACAACTTACTAAAAAAAGCCTTATTTTTATATTTGTATCAAAATTTTGACTATTGATTTGTACAAAATATAAAACAAACTTCTTTAAATATAACATTGCCCATAATAACTATTACATATATATTAATTATTTTCTTTCACATATATACTCCTATCATTTTTTTAAAAAAAAACAATACATTTCATACCCTTTTTTGAAAAAATATATTTCATACTTGATAATACTGAGGGTATGTTCAGTTCCGTAGAAATTCAGTTCAGTTCAGCTCAGCTCATCTCTTAATTTATGTCTAATGATATTGCTAATGATATAAAGCCAAATTTCATTCTTTTAAGCTCTTATTACAACGACAACAACAACAAAAATAATAATAATAATAATAATAATAATAATAATGTTTTAAAAAAAATAAAATAATAATAATAATAATAATAATAATAATAATATTAACAATAATAATAATAATAATAATAATAATAACAATAATAATTGAAATAATAATACTAATAATAATAATCAATAAATAATAATAATAATAATAACAATAATAATAATAATAATAATAATAATACTAATAATCAATAAATAATGATAATAATAACAATAATAATAATAATAATACTAATAATCAATAAATAATAATAATAATAATAATAATAATAATAATCACAATAATTAATAATAATAATAATAATAATAATAATATTGATACAATTCATTTTTCAAATGGTTCTATTTTTTTGATACATATTTCTTATGTTAATCTCATTGAGAAAATTAGAGTACTACACAACTTAAAATTTGTTTAAATGGGTTAGATACATGTAAGTGTTTTGTGTTCTTTTGTCCTAATACTATTTTATTTTTAAATTAAATAGTATATGTGTTTAAAATGTTTAGAGGTTTTAAGTTTTTAATATATTTTCCATACATTTTATAATATATTTTCCATACATTTTATAATTATAATTATATAGTATATTTTTCGTAAATATTTTAATATGTACATTTGTATATACAAATATGTATAGTAATAAATAATCAATAAATAATCAAAGATTACTAATCCGTAGTTAAAAATCACTAATTAATAAGTTCAGTTCAGTTCAGTTCAGCTCAGTTCAGTTCAGTTCAGCTCAGTTCAGTCAATCGGAGCAGGCCCTGAGTTATACTCTTTTTTGATAAAATTTATTGTCATTAAAGTTATTTGAAAACCGTTCATTGTACGGGGTTTAATCTAGTTAAATAAATAAACCAATCTATCAAAAATGAAAGCAATACCAATCAAACTCATTTAAAAAAGTGAAAATGTCCAAATCTGCCCATCTCTCGCCTGTCAAAGCTGACTTTGGTCGTCCATGGTTCCTCAACCCCATATTCCCTATATCTTTTGTCTTTAATATCAAGATCAATACCCAACAAAATTTTAAATATACTTCATTAATAAAATAACAAGAAAAAACAAACAAAGAAAAGTACAAAAATTAAAAAAAAAAAAGTTAAAAAAAATTAACAGTCTTTGTCAATTGTCACAAATTAAAAACTAATATAGGAAGTACTTTTTCCATTTTTCTTAGATGCAACACATTTAATAAAGATTGTTTTAATTTAGATGTATTATTTTCAATTTTAATTAATAAATTCTCTATATTTCTCGTATTATATGAGGAGCCCTTTCCCTAAATAATGTTGGGAAATTATCTAATTCCCAAATTAATAGCTACTCTTTTTTTAATTCCCATTATACTGTCCACGTCAGCTAAGGAAAACAAATCGATTTTTTTTTTCTCGGTCCAGCAACAAACCGCTACTTCAAGTAGCGGTTTTAATTTTGTAAACCGCTATTTCAAGTAGCGGTTTTCCTCAAAACACCGCTACTTGAAGTAGCGGTTTATTAAAACCGCTACTTCAAGTAGCGGTTCATGGGTTTGTTTTGTAAGTTTTTCTTTAAAAACAAAATATCTGTAAATCAGTAATTAGTAAATACAAACCGCTACTTCAAGTAGCGGTTTCTAATATGTAAACCGCTACTTGAAGTAGCGGTTTTCAGTAGCACTCCGCTACTTGAAGTAGCGGTTTTCTAATAAACCCGTTTTTTTTAAAAAATTCCCACTGAACCGGTAACGTGGACGGTATGGTGGGAATTAAAAAAAGACTAGCTGTAATTAAGGAATTAGATAATTTCCCGACATTATTTAGGGAAAGGGCTCTCATATGAGTTTATTTCTTTTATTTCTGTTTGTCTATCTTAGCTCTTAAAAATACGCAATTTGTAAAATTTTGCAAAAAAAAAAAAAAGAAAAAAAAAAAAAACTCCGTATTAAATTAATTTTAAAGAATTAAAAAAGTAATACATCAGTCTTCACACTACACTTAGCTTAGTACCACTGGTAGTTTACTGTAACACTGTAAGAACCCATTAAACACTGCTTCTTTAAGCCAAGCTAAGAATCTTTTTCTGCTACTTTTCCCTCATTTTCTTCTTTGTTTTCACTGTTGTTTTTTCTCCAGTTTTTTGAGTTTTCTCTCTCCAAAATCAGAGCTTTCTCTCTCTTAAAACTGAGCTTTTTCTCTTGAAAAGTGAAAACCCATCTCTTAAATTCTTCCCCCATTAATACCCTTTTCTGCAATCCTGTTTAAAAAGCTAAAACCCTTGTATAAAAGTAGAAGAAAAAAAGGGTTGAGTTGTTCTTTACCCATTTTCAATCTGCGCCGCTTCGGCCGCCGCCAACTCTTAGATTGTTGATTGTTAAAGGGTTAGTGTTCATTTGATTAGTAGCTCTAAAATTTGATTTGAATTTTAGTTGATTTGGAGTTGAAATGTGGAATGTTGTTGATTTTGATTGTTGTTTTTAGTATTTTGTTGAGATGATTGTGAATAATTGGGTATGTTGAATTGTGGATTTGTTTGTTTACTTGTTTTTGTTGAGTTTGAGTTTGCATTTTTTAGTTGAAGTTGAAATTGATGTGAAATGAGATTGGAATTGAAGTTGGAAATAGGATGTTTGTAATTTGAAATTGTTTGTCAACTTGTGAATTGAAATTAGACCATATTTGTTTCTTTTTTTTTTTTTGTCAAATGAAGTGTTTCATTCAAATCCATTCTTTGCTTGTGTTACTTTGATAAGGAATTGTTAAGTATTTGTCATTGACAATTGGAAATTCGGAATAGTTAATGAATTGGTTGTCGATTGGTACGTTGTGCCCTACCATTTCTAAAATCTACCACTGGTTTTACTTGTACTGAAGTCATGTTATTTATGGAAGCCCTTGAAATATAAGTATTTTAAAGACAGAATGCATAAAAAAATACTTTCATTTGTGCTTTATAGTCCAAATGTTGAATAGTTCCTTGCTTCCTTCTTAATCTGCCTCCATTATTCACTCTTAAGCAGCTAGCTCTCCCTAAAATGTACCCATCAAGTGACGGCGGCCAGCTGGGTGGAGTTATACAGAAGAACAGGAAATGTAGAGACATAGTGTTCCTTGTCATCTTCGTAGTATTCTGGATTGCCATGATTGTCAATTCAAGTTTTGGGTTCAACAAAGGTAACCCAAAAAGGTAATACAAAAATTTATCATAAGACTTTTCTCATTGTTATATTTTCAGTGGTTTACTTTCTATATATTTCTTATTTAATATAGATATGCATGTGATGTGAGTCATGTGACCCTTTTATTACTTTTTATGGAAAGTTCCTTGATTTTGTTGAATTTGCTTAGATCTCATCTTTACATTTGTCATTGCTCAACTGAGTAAAGAATAAACTTTTGTGACCTTGCCTTGAATGCCATGAATGGGCTACGGTCTGTGAGATTCACCTTTCATTCTGGAAAGATTGGAAATTTATAGCATCCTTTCCCCAGTTTTCTTACTATGATATTCTTCTGATTTGTAAAGTCTAGTTAAATGCAACAAATCATGATTCTAATCTTGCAGTCAGATGCTATTCCTAGGTAGTTATCAAATACCTTGGTTTTTTCTTCATAAAGGAAATTGACAATAGCAAAATGCCAACCCCCTGGTATCTGTTTATGGACAGAATTAAAAGTTGAACTACTAACTTTTTCATGTTAAATTATGCAAACATGCATTGGTCAAATCTTCCTGCTGCCTATCAAAGTGTTCATGATTGTGGAAGGGCTGTGTGGGATAAGCCGGATAACCAAGAATCTGTAGAAAACTAAGAAAGATACAGTGTGCTTACTCAAGAAGCTGGAGTAATGCTGTTACATTGGAATGAAGCTGCCATTATTAAATTTGTTAGGGCTCTTGCTTTGTACACACAAAAAATTAAGAGGACTCGTAGCTACTGCATCAGGGGCAACGATTTGAATTCTATAAAAGGTTTATGCAGCCTTCATTGTAAGTAAATTTGTTTTGCGTTCATAGAGTTGCTGAGCCGATTAGTGGTATAGAATGTCCATGTGCACTAGGACAAAGTTTTCACATTAAAATAAGCTTGAAGCCTTGAAGGTGATATATCTGGTGTAAAATCCAATATTCAGTAGCTACTCCAAGGAGCAAATGTATATTCATGCACGAAACAAGAACTGAAGAGCTTTATGCAGCAGATTAGGTGTTCTTATGAAGTTCAAAGAAAATGAAATGAATAGTAGTTGTGAACCTCGATTATGGAAAAGATGTGGAAAGGGAGGCGTAGATGGTTTGGGCATGTTAAAAAAGAGTACCCAGGTGCTCTGGTGAGTATATTGAGTAAGATGAGCATGGGATATTGTAAGTGTACAAAAGATGGACCCTACAGAATGGGAAGTAATCAGGGAAGAATTGGCCCATCTAGAAATATTGCATGATGTGGTCTTTGAGGAGATGGTGCAACCTTGCAAGTGACAGTGGCGGATTTTGACTTAAGTTTATCAATTTTTTCTGTTTAAACCTTCGAACTTTTGTTTTAACAAAAATACTCAGCTACTATGCCATTTAATACTCATATTATGGATACTGCAATTTAAGGGTTTTGTGAATTTGTGGGGCTGAGTCACTGTAGGCCATAAAGATCCTCCTCAGTGTAGCTGACTACAACGACAACTTTCTACAATCTTACTCAGCTCCTCTTTGATAATTAGTCTAGGATTTTAAGTTATACCCATCTCGCTGTGCACCATTCCTGTGCATGGGTTAACTTTAAATACTTTATATAGTGGCCAATCCAATAATTTGTATCAGTCTTGAATAATCCTCCCCCCAAACAAAAAAATAAAAAAAAAGAGTTCTGTAACTTACCTGACAAGGTGTAAATTGATCTTTGTTTTCTATATGTTAAGGTATATTGTTTCAACCAGTCAATTTCCTTCTATTTCCTTAAGTGGTAGTTACTTTACATTTTCAGGTTAGTCTATGGTTTGGACTATGAGGGAAATCTATGTGGTGACAAAGATGCCCATCGAAATCTCCGTGAACTAGAACTCAGATATTGGGTAAACCCTAACCAGGTGCATGAAAGTGGATTAAAGAACTCCGCGTTCAAGCTGGCAGATGCAAGGAGCATTTGTTTGTTGGATTGCCCTATTCCAGCTGAAGATTCCCTTAACTGGGTCTGTGATTACCCTGATGGAGATATACATCTCACTTTAGATGAATGGATTGACAGGAACTATGATTATTTTGAGTTCCTTACCCCAGATATGAGAAACAGTTCACTTCAACTTCAAGGGCCTTGTTACCCTGTCATATTTCCCAGTGTTAATGGTATGTTAATTTTTTTTTTTAATTGTGTGACCTTTATACTGTTCATGCAGTCATGTATTCCTTTTATTTTCTCTATAGTTGAGATCATTTTATCTTGTGCTGTAGATATCTTGGATAAGGACTTAGGGATATTTCTCTAAATTCTTTGCTTTTACTATTTTTTTTAAATAGTTTTCTGGAGCTGCCAATTTATTGCTCGTCCATCAAACATGTCTTTACGGCATTGGCAGCAGATGGGGGGAGTAAACATCAACGAGGGACTTGAAATTGACAAGTCAATTCACAAAACAATGAACTCACGATCTGCTGTCGTAAAGGTGAGGGACCTTATATAATTTACAGAGATTTTTGTTACTTTTGACTGTTCGTGACACTGTTAAAGTCACCTTATTCTCATCACAATTTGTTGACATGAGGATGTTTTAAGGCTTTCTCTTCAGCGTTATTTATCTTTATGTTATACTTTTAATTTAAAAACCATTAAGTAAACTTTTGTACCTGTGGGTATTGATATTGTTTCCGTAAGAACATCTTCCAATGATTTGTGTAAAATTGTTTGTATTTGGAATAATAATGCTAATCAGGTCTATGAATGAAAGATGCCAAGATAATATTATTAATTTACCATGGACTTTTGTATTCTTGTTTTCATGCAAAAGCTCCTTGTGTCTGATGGATGCCAAAATGTGACATGACTGACAGTCTAACACCTATTGGCCTAAAATAAATGAAGCAAAAATTGCTTATTATAGGTGAGCCGTGATTGTGAATTTGTGGCCCTTGGACCTTTTGACACAAATGTATATTCAGAGATCAGAATACTTCAGAGTTCTGACTGTCTTCATGATCTTAAATGCTTGTAGTGAATGGCTTCACACGTGTTTAAAAGTATATAATAGTTTAATATATGCCTTTTGAGTTGTGACCTCTGCTGTACTTATCATTCAGGCCTTTTTTGGTCAAATAATTGTTTAAATATCTGCTTTCTGCAGAGGTACATGGCTGACATTGGAAAGTCATGGTTTGTACTCCTTGTTTGTGGTGGGCTCCTGCCACTTTTCTTGTCAGGGATTTGGCTGCTGTTGATCCGGTATCTTGTGTCTGGGATGCCATGGATTACAGTTGTACTTTTCAACATTCTCGTAGTATCAGTTACTATGCTTTTTTATCTTAAAGGTAAGAGATCTATCTTTAGAAAACTGCTCCCTTTTTCTGTTCAGAAATCTAAAACTTAAGTATATTTCAAATTATACACTCTGGAGTTTTATTTTTATATTGGGGGTTTATTGTTGATTACTACATACATTTAATTAGCACACTTTGTCGTTCTCAGCTGGATGGATTGGAAATGATGCTGTTACACCCATTGTTGGCGTTCATGACCCATATGTTCATGTATATGGAAGGGTAAGTTCTTTTACCAAATTCTGACTTTACTTTGGGCCTATAGATGTGAGTTTTGGGATGCAAATCACTTGGAGAATTTGGTTAAATTGCTTTTACTATGACCTATCCTCTTTTAAAGGGTTTGTAAGATTATAAGGCTCGTGTCAGATGATACTTTCAAATGATCAATTACTGTCAATTCAAAGGGATTGTATGTCACCAGCAGGCTCATATGGTGGAAGCAAGAATAAGTGATCAAAATTGTGGCTAAATCAAGTTTAAACAGTTATTTTGTCAAATAAGATGATTAGAGCATGAGCTGACAGCTGTTCAAAAGAAGTGAAATGTTACAAGTAGAGAAATTGTTTGAACATAAGATATACTACAAGTTGGTTCTACTCTTTTGCAAAACTTAAAAGATTAATTGATATAGTAAAGAACGTGAGAGATTTAATCAAGGTAAACTTCTCAGACCTAATCTGGAAGTGAAGAACCTCCACTACACGGGATTTTACTCCAAAATCTTCCACTAAGATGGGGAAAACAATTCTGTTTAATACTTCAGTCCACTTGTTGGCTCAACCCCTGGGTACAACATCTTCAAACTGTCCATTCTCACTAATATCCAATGTGCTCTCCTCATGGTTTTCTAGCTTCTTTCATCCCTTTCTCATAATTACAACATTTTACTCTAACCCCCACAGTGAGCAAAGTAAATTAATTCGACAAATACTCCTTAGTTTAATACTATACGAACTCTGTATTTTATGAAGTGTATATGGAAAATGAAATGACTCAAACTCAGAACTTAGGTGTTGTTTTGTTGCCTTAAGTTTCCATAGGCACTCAAAACTCCCATGAATTTCCTTTTAGGTATGTTGTTTGGTTGACATTAAAAAGCAAATATGGAGGAAGTCACAATTCATGGGAATTTCCACTTCCCTCAAAACATGGGAAGTTACTTACCCACCCCACCCTTGGTCATTCACAGTTCCTAGAATTTACAAATTTTATGTAATTCCTAGGAATTTTTATAAAGGCAGTAATTTCCCATTTATTAGAATTTTCCGTGGGAATTTACTTCCTACATCAGCCAAACAAGGCCTTAGTGTTTACCTTATGATTAGCATTAGCTCACTATGCAACTCAATGATTCTGGAAATTAATTGAGTAGGATTATCTGGGAAGGGAATTGGGTGTCAAAATTTTCAAATAAATATTGGGTATGATAGTCCTTTGCTGCCTCTAAAGAGTATAAGTAACAAATTTGTCTCTTAATTGAACAATAATTACCAAATTAATTGACTGGGTTGTATATTATGGTCTTTCTAACGTGCAAATAGCAAAAAAAATTTGATGATACATTGATACTATACTACATTACTACCTTGGGAAGAATAAAGGTAACAAGACAGCTTCTTCTCTGCATAAAGACTTATCAATTGCTTTGTTAGATGGCTTACAAACTTCTGGTTGCCTAAGATAGGGAGGATGCACCAAGCTGCTGTTTCTCTATATGGCTTATTCGTTATTCCGTAATTACCAATTTACTGTTGCTGGCATAATTTCCTTATTAGAACATTTTTTTATTTGTGCACCAGGAGTTGACTCACCTTCGTGTTGCTGCAATTTTGATGACTGCCATTATGGGAATGGCCATCCTGGCATCAATTGCCATAGTTAGACGCATCCTTATGGCAACGTCAGTCCTAAAGGCAAGTATAATCACCTGCTTTCATGTGCTATGATTGAGTTATTATTTGTCTAGCATTTGATTTGTATGCTTGGATCCTGAAGATTGAGTTTGATGGATATTTGGGTCACAATGGTCCAGAAATAGAACTCATGCAAAACTACTCTGAAATTTTCAGAGAATTATCACTCTTGTGAAATTCGAGTCTTCAGATTTTAACATGTATTTGGCTTTGTCATTATTTGCTCTACTTTGAAATGAAATTATGAACACTGAGCTAAAGGCAGACTTTTGAGGTTTGGGTTTATGGTTATCGTGCCAAAGTTTAAAGAATGTATTGTTGGAAGAAGCATGATATTCTTTGGGGAACATGTTAATGATTATGCACCTTAGTCTGTTTGCTATATCTCGGGTGGGAGGGGATTAGATTTCACTGTGAAGGAAGCTTCCAAAATCACAAAATGCACTGCATTATCAGGCATCTTCATCAAGTTTGAGGGAACTATTATTACAAATATACACTATATCATAATAGTGAGTATTTACATGTATACTAAAGTTGTAACTTGAGTAAGAACTTTCAGTCTGCATGCATTGCTTCTATTGCCAAACATTACTCTGCTGGAAGTGGCCTACTTGATTAGATTAGCAGATGACAAACTTTAGCTTAAAGATCAAATGATGGGTAGTTTAAATACGTTTTTTTGTTTTTAACCTAGGGTAAGCCAACCTGAAACTGTAGATGTTCTAGGTGATGCCTGATATTGCACTTTTATCTGATGACATGTTTAAATTATTTCCAGGTTGCTGCAAAAGTTATAAGGGAAGTTCGATTTTTAATGACCTTTCCAGTCATACCATATGCCATACTTGGCATCTTTTACATGATATGGGTATCTGCTGCTTTGCATATATTCAGTTCTGGCGAGGTTCATCAGAATAACTGCGAATCCAACTGTTGTGCTTACAACCTTAGTTCAAGCCGGGTCAGCTGTGAGCGCTGTTGTGGTTATAGCATTCATTATACCCCTCACATAGGAATCTCCATCCTCTTTCACTTGTTTGGTGGTTATTGGGCAACACATTTCTTTATAGCATGTTCATCCACTGTCATTGCGGGTTCTGTTGCTTCTTATTATTGGACTCGTGGTGATTCATCGGTAAGCAATCGATTGCTAAACTCTTTTAGGCATATGCTATAGACTTGTGGTTTTGTGATTCTTTGAACATATGAATGCCCTTTGAAAATTATTAGTCATTGTGTCCTTTATTACATACAGTTTTATGTCCTATTTAAATATTTAATTAAACTTCTCTTGTTCAGTTATTTTACTTTTTTTAAAAGTTAAATTTGGAAGGGCCCTTGTGGTGTTCTAATGCACATTGGAAAGAGGGGGGGGGGGGGGGAGGGGCGTGTTGCTCAATTCATATGTTAATATTATGTTTGGGTGCTAGTTAGCAAGCGTGAGTATGAATCATATTTTTTTGCATGCTTTTGAAGGATGGTCCCCTAACTTGTACGGTACTGTTGCTTCTTTTGATTGAGTTTACAAAATGATATTAACAGTTCTACATTCATAGCTTTTACTTGTTTGGAGTTTATCTCCACCATAGCACACATTGCATTGCATGCTATTGAAGGATGGTCTGTTGATCTCCTAAGATGTACAGTAGTTTTGTCTGTTTTGATTGAGATTACAAATTGGTGTTGACTGTTCTACATTCGTTGCTTTTACTTGTTTGGAATTTATATACGCCAATAAATGCTATGGTTTACCATGTAACTTCAGGAAATGTTCTTTTATCAATCAAGGGGGGTATTTTGCTGTAAATGATTGCTTATTATATCTGCCTGACAGTCTATGCACGTCACACTGGCCATTCTGCTTTGGTATAATGTGTGTTATATGAGATGAATTGCATAGAAAAAATCAGTTCTGACTGGATTGCATGAAAAATATAAAATTGTCTGCATTGTATCATGGGATATTCCATCTCCTGATAGCCTAAAATTTCTGTAGTAAACTTATTTTAGACTCACTGTTGTATGAATTTTGCAGCCGAGAATCCCATTTTTACCTGTTTTTGCCTCAATGAAAAGGCTAGTCCGATACAACTTGGGTTCTGTTGCTGTTGGCTCTTTGGTTCTATCTTTTGTGGAGTCAATCCGCTTTATACTAGAGGCAATTCGACGCAAGCTGAAGGTTTCCTATACTACGCCAGATAATTGGTTTGGGAAGATAGTCCATAATTCTTCCAATTGTTGCTTAAAGTGCGTTGAGTGGACCATCAAGTCAGTGAATCGTAATGCCTATATAATGGTAAGATGGTACATATTTTTCAGTTTGCTTCTAATTTTCATTTAAGCTGTTAAGTTGTCTGCCTAACCTAGAAAGACCCTGATAGTGCTCAAGACCAATCCTCTTTACCTTTTTTTAGTAGAATGCTCTTTCTGAAACTGATTCATTAAACAGTCTGCAGTGTTTTATTAAATAGCAAAAGTTTGCCTACAGCTCAAGGATCAATTGTAAACAACCTTCCTGTTAGCTTTAAAAGTTTGGCTACATACACATGAGGGTCTGACCCTCCTACTCTGTATGCGTTCAGAGCCTCTGCAGTGACATTAATCTTGTTTATCTTGATCTCCACACATTAAAGAAGGGTCAAGCCTGAAGCTATCGCTGTTCACAGGAATGTCTTGTGTTATACTGTTATATTCATTTGGTAGAATTAAGAATGACCATCCCTTTGTGTGTGTGTGTGTGTGTGTGTGTGTGTTTAAATTGCACTCATGCTAGTTTTTAGTTTTCAGCTCTAATAAAACCAAGACAGATCTAGAAAATGCAGTTTCTAGTTTAAATGCAGTTTCTAGTTTTGTTCTCCATCTTTGAATTTAAAATGGCTTGTATAAATATGAGATTTTAATTTCATGATAAATTCTTGTATCATATAACTTGAAATCACAGAGGCAAAAATTAAAAGCTACCAATTTTATTCAATAGCTTTAGGAAATTCATGAATATTCTGTCTTTAGAATGAGTTTTGGTATCTGGAGATGCTTTTGTTCACTGTTCTAGATGTTATTCATTATCAAATGAATTATGGTTACGTCATGAACTCCAAGTCACCATTTGACCAAATACTAGAGATCAGCCTCTAAAGCCAGGTTCATGTCTGTCAATTGTCCTACAAAGCTATCTTAATATGTAGCTAAGCGATGTGTGTGATGTTACTCTTGATTCCATCAAATGTCTCATAAATAATGAAATATATTTTTTTCAGCCTGGCTATTCTGTATGAAATCCAATAGCAATTAGCAGGTTATAGATCTCAATGTTACATTTTCTAAAGCAGTAGCTTATGGCCTTTTATTTTAGCATGTGGCTATTATGCCATACAGGATGTTAACATCCTTGTTTTGGAATGATTAATTTGAACCTATCCGAGTCAGTGCTTTACAACTCACCCAGAGAGGGGGAAAAATAAAAAAAATAAAAAAAAAACAAAAAAAAAACAAAAAAAACAAAAAAAAACAACAACAACAACTCACTTACACTCACCTTTTCCAGAGATCAGATCAGTAATTATCACCCAGTAGGTTCAGGCTTGATTTTCGATATGATGCCTGTGACCTTGTATCCTTATCTGACACCTATTGCTTGAGATGAAAATTCGATACATTTCCTCCTTTTTAGGGTTTAAAATGCAAAACTCTTTTCAAGATTAAAATGACCATAATTTTTCTGAAATATATTGATACCTCTGTTTTGTTCAGTACTTAAAATACTTGTTTGATATTTTATTTATATCAGTATGCAAGAGAAATTAATTGTCAAAGTTTTACCTTGAAAAACATGGGAATATTATAAAGCAGAGGGAGTAGCGTAGTTTCTGATAACTGTGAATCTGTGATCCTTAAACCTTCTTGCATGGTACGATTGCTTATATTTGGCAATTGTGATATGCAGATTGCCATTACAGGTAAAAGCTTCTTCAAGTCTTCCGCTATTGCAACGGAGTTGATTATGAATAATATACTGAGGATAGGGAAGGTTAATGTTGTCGGAGATGTCATTCTGTCTCTTGGAAAATTATGTGTTAGCTTATCAAGCGCCATGTTTGCATTCCTCATGTTGGATACTTACGACTACAAGTCTGCCCATAAGAAGATTACTTCTCCTTTGTTCCCAGTGCTGGTATGTTTTATCTTTTACCTAGGATTCAAGTTATAAATATTTTATGTTTCATGGCTTAAGATGTTGTCCACCCACCTCCATCCAAATAAAGAAATGGAAAACCTTAACAAGCTATCTTTGCAAAAACACATCCAATTATTGTAAAATCGTTGTGCCTGTTTTATTTTGCTAGTTGCTAGTGATGGTGTTTAAACTACACCTTATTGCCTTGGTGATACTTTTCTGCATGTTCTACTTTACTGTCCATCTTATAGACGTAAATAAATTGTCCATTATATATCCTTGGTCTCGAGTGCCAGGGTTTTGTTGTTTTCCTTCAAGAAAACCTGACTGAGTATTTTGTATGAGGCTGACTCACAATAAATTATTGTAATTCCTCCTCATGGGACTAAATAGTTGAAGTGCTGCATCAACTGCCTGATTTTTAGCTCTTTATTTTGCAGGCATGTTGGATCCTGGGTTATGTTGTTGCGACGCTGTTCTTTGGCGTGGTTGAGATGTCCATCGATAGTATTATTCTGTCATTTTGCCAGGATGCTGAGGAAAACCAAGGGACTGCTCAGTATGCACCCCCCCTTCTGCTTGAGACTCTTACAGACAAAAACGAGACCCAAAGACTTACAAATTGATCATCTGGTTTTTCTCAAGAATTTTGAAGCATGAAGCATGTTATGTATTAGTTGTAAATATAGTTAGAAATTTTTTCTTTTACACTTTTAAACATTTATCCATCACTTGTTCAAACATATGTTGAATTTATTAGAAAAGCAACTCCTTAGTTAACTAACCTTGATCTAGATACAATCAAAGCAAAGGCTAAAGCTTTATTTTGAGGTATGACTAATTAATCTATTAAGATGTAAAACACAATTGAAATAGGTCTGATGATATTTTAATTAAATTTTAAGCTCCTATCTTTTGTTGTCCAATATATGCTTGGACAGTTTCTATTAACTATGAAGAGAGTTAAATGTGACACAAATCTAATGATAAATTTGGTTGACTAGAAGAGAAAAATGGTGAGGCGCATCAATTGCATCATCAATTGCAATAATTCCATATAAATATATAACTAGCCTTCTGGCCCGTTCCATACTTCCATGCACGGGTTATTACTTAGAATATTTTCCTTGTAATGTGTTGCTTATTTGTGCTATATACGAGTCAGCATTGTTTTATTGTACCTTATATGTTTATATAATGTGGACTAATTAGCTCAACTTTTTTTTTTTTTACTATTACTTTATTTTAAGTTTAGGAGATGAAAGACTGTGTCAAAAAAAAGTTTAGGAGGTGAAAGACTACGACTTTATTTTGCTGTAGTTGAAACACTTAATTTCCTTACTTAAATTTGCAAGTTATGGAATGCATAAACACATGAACTTTATTTTTTTGATAAAGAAGGTTGAGTGATTTGTGGTGACATGTGGCATATGAGTGACTTGTGGTGACATGTAGCATATGAGTTACTTGTGGTGACATGTAGCATATGAGTAATGTGTGATTTGTGTTTTTAAATACAAAGTATAAATAGATATAGATATAGATGTCATATAATGGACTGAAGGAGTAAAAATCACATATTAAGCCCAGAGTTCGACAGCACAAGTCTGGTTAGATTGTTCATTAGTTCTGCGAAGTCTCAGTATGGCCCATTTTTAAAGGGAGGCCGATTGTTAACCCACATAAGAGAGATAAACAAGATGAGATACACATAAAAACTGCGAAAACAAACACCAAATTTTAGACATGCAATGAGGATATTGGCTATTCTTTACTATTACTGTGAACATTATTGGATCACAGCACCAAAACTCAGTTCAAAACAGGGTGCCCATGCCCCAAATATATAGACATTCCAACTAAGTTGTGAAAAATAAGTACCCCCATCAAGAAAGACCTAAAAACCATTATAGTGAAGTTTTGAATGAGACTGTAAATTTTAACTTCTTGGCGAAGCTCAGGGTCTTTGGATTGATTTCATCAATTTGAATGACTAAAGTCTTTCAATTGTCTGCTTCAGTGCATGGAATAGATTCATTCTCTAGCAGTTTTAAAACCTGTATACAAGATTATAAGAACAAAATCAACAAACAGATAGACAAAAAAAAAATGACACAAGTTACATTCGTCCTGCCTACTTGGGCGGCCCTTTTTATGCAATTCTGGTTGCCATATATCAGAGACTAGTTATTGTTAATTTTCCCTAAGCTTACACAGTATCAAAGGAAATCTCAGTTCTCGCAAAAAAGGGACAGCAGCTAACTAGTTAGATCCTATGTCCTGGCTCTCTTAGTTAGCCATCCTCCCCTTGCATATAATTATTGGGAGTGTATTACATACCAATGATACCATATTTTGAAGGGCAACAATGAAATAAATCTTTATTTTTAACTTTACTACTCAAATGGCTTGTTAAAAAATGAAATTTGGTATAGATGAAAGAATTGACTGAATATCTTTGCAAAGAGGAAAATTTCAGGTAATGACATTATAATCAGATATAGCTTTGGGCACTAGTTTTGATGAGGCTGTAAATGAAACAAAATGCTTTAGAAATTCATGGTGTTAATACGGTCTTGGATGCAACAAAACCTATAGTTTTCCACAAGGTCAGGCAGCTACATAAACTGATAAACATGATATACAAGTAATTAAATATGTTAACAAGACAATCAAAAGATGAAGTTTAAATCTATATCTTCAGCCTTTAAATGTAAGGCTCTATCTTTTCTAGATCATATCCACAGAGCCCTGCAAATTCAGCATTCTCTCTACATCATATATCCCTCATCGCAAACCAAATTAATATAATAGTGAACCTCGGAAAGAGGAGTAAGTATCAAGTCACTTCAGGAGAAAAGAAAAAAAGAAAAAAGAAAAATAGCATTGTACTCATGCTATAAACAAGAGGTAGGTTTAAGTTGAGAATGAAAACGAGAGAGAGAGATTGCCTTCCAAATATTAAACCATGAAATCACATCTAACTCTCGTAAGCATCTCTTCACAGCCTTCAGATCAATTTTAGTCTTCATTAGTTATTCAAAGCGGCATGAAGTTATCAATAGAGGATAATTGATAGATTCCTCATATTCTTGTGTTGAATTCAAACAGGTGTTTTACACTGAGTTAAGATATTCAGTGGGACAATGGGATTTTTGACAAAACTAGAGATCAATAAATTTTTAGAGAAAGAAAACCACCGTCACCTATAACCAGCCTTTAATACAATAAACATTCTAGAAAAAAATGACATTTGAGCTGTGTAGAGCAGCATCTAGAATAAAAGACCATGTGATTAACATATGTCAGAAATTCAAGAGGAGTATGATTGAACTGAAAACACAACTCACCAAGAACTTGATGGATCATTTGCATGTCAAGTTGAAACCCATCTCCAAGCATTTTGAAAAGAAAGTCTTCCATGTCTGCATGCAAGCTATCATCCTTCCCAGTATTATTAAATGAGGCAGAAAATGATTCATTTGAGAGCACTTCAGATGATCGCATTCTTATGGATTCATTTGAGTGAACTTCAGATGATCGAATTTTTATACATTCATTTGAGGGAACTTCAGATGATTGAAATTTTGTAGATTCATTTGTTGACATTAATGACTTCAGACGTTCTTCTCCAGAATTCTCAGAAACATAGTTGTTTGCGCGACCTTTACTATTTCCTTCATCAATACATAGATACTTCGAGGCGCCTTCAGCACATAAATCTAATGATGATAAAGAAGTTGCATCTATGCCATCTTTGGATTCACGAGTCGCTGCAGTAGTTCCCTGTAATTCGTAAAGAATGACACCAGCCAAGTCCACATTACTATTTGCTTGGGAGTAAGCAGAAGCTAAAGTCTCCAGTGAAATAGAGGACCCAAAAGCTTCAAGCAGCAGCTCCATATCCCTGTTACAATCTCTGATTGATGAATTGCAAGAGCTGGCCGCCTCCATGTCTGGGAATGAATAACACATTGAAAAAACCATTCAAAAAGTAATATAAATAAGACATGATGTATGACTGGTCTTTTAGATTAAAGAAACCTAAGCCAGATCATGCAAAAACAATCCAGAAATTTTACCAGATTTTGTTAAAGCGTCATCATCTGAATCTAATAGTGGAATAAACTAAGGGTGAGCAGGATTTAAGTTGTAACACAATATAAATGCACGCGGCCTTGAGGCTTGAGCTAGCCATATGAGTAAAGAAAATGCAGCATACAATAGTTAATCACATTTCCACAAGCATTAACCTTAAAAAAAAACTAGAATTATCCCTCTGGGTAGACACCTCTTTCTGAAAAAGTTCCAAGCCACTAGAATAACGGATTAAAGGTCTCCGTGTATCTTTTCTCCCCGTCACCCCAAAGTCACACAAAACCAAATGTTAGCATGTAATAATTAAAGTAATTATGGAACTAAAAAGATACATAGAGGTCATGACCATTTGAAGGGGGAAAAATGCAAGCAAACAAGAGCTTCAAGAGTCGTCAGAATAGAATTAAATATCCAAAATATCACTTAGTAAACCCATAATACCAATTATCAACAAATACGTATTTTTTCAGTTCAGTATTGTTCTTCAATCTCCATGCACCATCAGAATATATAGCAACAAAAATTCCTTTAATTTAAGATATTGTGCGTATCATATCACACGAACAAACTAATTCAAGCAAGGGAGCACAAATGACAGAAAAGGCCAATTTTACAGTAGGAGGTTTACATGGTTATGGAAGGTTTACGAAAGTTCACCAGATACAGTCCTGAACCACCACGTAAATCAGCAGCTACTCGTATACTGGAAGGTAAACATCAAGAAAAATACTATGAAATTTGTCATGCAAATTAGATTTTCATAAAAGAGCTCGAGCACATAACATAACTAACTAAATAATCACTTCATTCAACTATTATAAATAAAAAACTACGGTACTATAGATGATAATACAATTTCTGAATACAAAAGAAACATCTAAGATTCCAACTCGGCTAATTATTTTTAAATTCTCAATAAAATTTGGCCACAAATTAAGTGTCCATGCCCATTTTAGAGTGTCGAGTATCCAACACAGGTAATTTAGGTGAAATGAAGAGCTCAAGCACCATACCTAATAAACAATTTTAACGACAAACTATTTCAATCATACATTTCACAAATTTTGAAAAAAATAATAGTAATAAACACCCTAAAAATTCAAAACTTTCAAAAACCAAAGACAAAATTTGTAATAAATAACAACATAATCAACCAATAATTCTATCATAAACGCAAATGTGCAATATTTTAGAGAATCAAACATCAAAAAAAATTATTAAAAAAAAATCAACTAAAGAAACAAGAATCACATTCAACAAAAAGATGATTATCAACAACACAAAAGAACAATGCAGATTAGTTAAAGATTTAAAATTTAGTATAAGAATAAACTGAAGAGAACTTACAGAAAAAATATAGAGATTCTTCAATGGAGAAAGAGAGAGTGAAGAACTAACAAGTTCAAAAATAAAAAAAATAAAAACAATCACCTTTAAAGCTAGAAGTCGTTTACTCAAGATTACTTGAATCAAGACGAATTCCAAATGTAAAGAATACATGAATATTATAAAAAGAAGCTAGAAGAAAAAAATAATGACATGTTCAGCACACATATACATCAAAAGAGATTAAATATGAAGAGTATTCAGGAGCAAAAATTTACTCATTTTTACAAACAATATAACTATTTCGATACATCTTCAAAATATCACTGTATTCAATTATGACTGATGCTTCAAAAATCAAAAGTATTCTAGCTTAGATTGAATTCCCTGCACAAAGGATGGGAATAGATGCCAACCAAGTCCGCCAATTTTCAGAAAAGCAAATGAACTCCTCACACTTATCAATGAGCTGAAGGTGCAGGATTAGTTCCCAATCCCAATCCCATCTTCTTTCCCAGTAAGGCAAGTTGATCAACAAACTCTGCCCCAGTGAGAATTTCTGTTGTTCCATATATAATATGCTTGGCTGGCTGCTGAAGGGACACAAGCTCTTGTAGGCTTGCATGCTCCACGTAATTCCCTCCCCCAATCATAAACACAATAGCCTCCTTAAATGGTCCTCTAAGATGGCTACCTGAACTAGACTTAGGAGCTCGAGGATCAAACATCACATAGGAGTCGACCTCTGGGTTAGGTCTCCCTTCCATCAAAGCTTCAACTATCCTTGCCAATGCCAGCTGCCGATCACCTGCCAAAAGATTCTTCATACCAGCAGCCAAAAGATTTCCAGCCCAGTCTACTATATTACCTCTGCTTGCAGCACTAGCAGAAGTCAAAGGAACATTCAATGACTTTATCTTTTTCACATACTGAAATGCACTAGTATCAACCTCAGCTTCTCTGAGTGCCGTTTCCACCATTTCTGCTTCAGATTGTGGAACAGTCTCCAAAGAAATAAGATACATGATAGCAAAACGGAGCTTATCCATCTTGGAACCCTTCCCTTTAAACACACCCATCAACTCATTCATATCAATACTACCCCTAACCAACATATCATACTCTTTTTTGGCATAAGAATCGAGGGACCTCTCTTTAATCTCACCCAACAACACGGTTGCAATATTAGTGTGCTTATCAATCACTTGCTTCCTCTCTGTCAACTCAGGCAGCGAGTTAACAGCACTCATCAAATGCTTTGTGTTCCCAATCAAATCCATCCCATCAAACTCTGCCCCACTAGTGCCACCAGTCCTCCTATTCACATCATCAACATCCTTCTTATACTTGGTCAACTGATTCTCAATCTCAACTGCCATCTCCGGAAACTCCAACCCTCCATTTGCCAACCAAAACGGATCCGACCCATCTAGCTCAAACGACTTAGTCCCTCCCTTCTCTCCTTTCACACTCACCCTATTAAGCCTCAATCCAAGTACATCATGAACAAGCGGCTTATACCTAAAATCATGCTGAATCCCCATAGCCAACTCGAAATTCCTATCAAACAAACACAAAACCGGCCTCTGAAACGACGAGGCAAAATTCCTACCTTCACTAAACAAGTTATTCTTAGCCAACAAATGGTCCCTAAGCCTCTGATCTAAGGCAGACGCCACCATTTCGGCAGCCCCGCCTTGCGGGCACCGAATAATTGGCACCACAGACAATGTAGCCAAAACACAGAACAACCCATCAACAACTTCGTCAATAATTTCCTCAATTTCTGTTTGTTCAGCTTTAGGATCATTCAATTGCACATAACAATTACTATAAGCAAGCGAAAACAAGTTATCCTCTAAAGTAACAAAATCCAAATACTGATCATGTACCTTAGAAACCCTACAAACGGCGTCGTTTGATTTGAGAACCCCAGAAGCCAGATCCTCCAACAAAGGACGAGGAATCGAAGACGAGAAGTTGAGATGAAACGTGTCGTATAGAGGTACAGCAGCATCCGAAACGACGCGTTGAATGTTGGCCGGAGTTGGGCGGATGAAGTAAACGGCGGGAACATCGGGAATAGGTTTCCGACCAGGTTTGTCGATGAGGAAGAAGAGAGTGACGCCATGCTTACGTAAGTCTTTGACATGGATTAGAGGAGAGAATATCTTGAGAAGATTTGTCGTAGATCAAGATCTTGTATACTTCTTCGTTTGCCATTCCTGTTGGTGAATTCACTGGTTGATTCAGATTCAACATTCTGATTATACATTCTGCAAATCAAACACAAAAATCGATTAAGATTGTAGATTGAATTGAAATGAAATTGGAGTTGGAAATGAGATTTTAGGGTTTTGAATTTATATACCTGTTTGTTTCTGGCGAAGATTGAGAGACATTGTTATGATTTGGGGAAAATGGAGGTTTGAAGGTTTGCAGAAATGGCGGATTAAGATGAACAAGGTGTGTTTGGTTAGTTGCTGAGATTAGATAAGTAACGGGATTTTATTTCAGATACTACACACAAATGTCCCCGCCAAAAAATCTCTATAGTTGCAAGGCGTTTGATTTTACCATGGAAATGTATTATTGACCAAACTAGTGTTTATTTTCTAGTATAGTTAAAACTAACCTTCTAAAGACTTGTTTTCGTATAATTATTTTCAGTTTAGTTCAGCTCAGCTCTAAAGAGTTCAGTTCACTTCACCTTCTAATTTCCTTCTCTTAAAATATTCTTTTCATATCATTTCAGTTCGCATAAGTCATTATCCTATTATTATTATTATTATTATTATTATTATTATTATTATTATTATTATTATTATTATTAATCATGGTCGCGATGTCTGTGTTGACTTGACAGGGCCTTCTCCATTGACACAATCTGGGCTTTCTGGCTTTGTTCCTGGACGGGTAGTGACTGATGCTTCCAATCGGAAGCGAATCAAGTACGAATCCAGTTGTCTAGCAATTGGATATGGCTTCCTTCCTTTCTCTTCTCTTGGGGAGTTAGAAAAAGACGTTATTGCATTGCTGAAGTGGATCCAGAAGTTCTCGAAGACTCAAGACATTGGGGCGCGTGCTGCAGCTCATATTTTTACTAGAGTAGGTTTTGCTATAGCTAGAGGAGTGGGAGCCCAGATTATATCTCGGCTTCCCACTAATTTATTTTAGGTTGTATAACTTTTGTTTTTGACAAATAATAATAAGAAAAAATATTGTGTAGAACGGACTATGTGAGTCCGGTCTACTTACAGGCCCGCGTGCGGCCCGTTTTTTAATAGTTCGGCCCGCGCGCGGCCCGACTATTAATTATCAATCATTTCTTGATTTTTTTTATAAAAAAAAACGTCTTCCAACGTTCCGCCTTTCTCCTCCTTCTTCTTCCCCACGTTTTCTGCAGTTACACTCCATTACACTCCATTACTCTCAACTTAACTACATTTTCCCTAAAATTTCGCATCACTCCTTCATTTTCTAGCTTATATTTTACTTGCATGTACTTAATTTTTATTTTTTTTTACATA